ATGTCTTTTTGAGACAGGGTCTCCCTGTAGCCCCAGCTGTCCTGGACCTCACTATGTGGACCAGGCAGGTCTTGAACACACAGAGATCTGCCTGCCTCTGCCTTATTTTTTATTACTTTTATTTTTTATGTGTATGAGTGTATTGCCTGCATGTATATAAATGTACCCGTGTTGTGCAGTGCCTCCAGAGGTCAGAAGAGGGTGTTGGATTTCCTTGGAACTGGAGTTAAGGGTGGTTGCTAGCTGCTCTGTGGTGCTAAGAATCGAACCCAGGTCCTCTGCAAGAGCAGCCAGTGCTCTTAACTGCTGAGCCATTGCTCCAACCCCTAAATCAGCTTTTAAAGCTATCTTTTAAAAGATTAAAAACATCTTGTGTATGTGTATGTATCTGTGTATGTGTATTCACTTGTGTGCAGTTGCCTGTGGAAGCCAGAAGAGGATGTTGGATACCCTGGAGCTAGAGTTATGCAGGTGGTTGTGAGACACCTGACATGGTGCTGGGAATTGTACTTGGTTTCTTTAGAAGATCAGCAAACATTCTTTTGTTGGGGAGGGGAGGTCTTTTTGAGACAGGGCCTCCCTGTAGCTTCAGCTGGCCTGGAACTCACTGTGTAGACCAGGCTAGCCTTGAACTCATAGAGATCTGCCTGCCTCTGCCTCCCAAGTGCTGGGATTAAATATATATGCCAGCATGGCCGACTCAGCAGCAAACATTCTTAACTGTTGAGCCATCTCTTCAGCTCCAACGTTTTAAGCTACTTTTTGTATTTATTTATTATTATGTGTACATGTGTGACAGAGGACAGTTTTTGAGAATTGGTTCTCACCTTTTATCATGACTACTGGAGATTGAACTCAGATTGTCAGTCATATACAGCAAGCACTTGTACCTGTATAGCCATCTCACTGGCCCTAATCTATTTTTAATAACGTTTGTATTCAGTTACATAAAAAAGTGTAAGTACCCTTTAATGATGCTCGTGTTGGTAAGGGAATACCAACTCAGCTGAGAGTTCAGTATGACTTGACTTTGTGAGTCATTAGGTAAATTCCTTACTATGTTAGATATGGGGCTGATGTCTTTTGTTTTGAATTGTTTCTGCTATGATTTCTCGAGTCTTCTATGTTATTTCCTTAACAGATCAAAAAACTGAAAGAATTGCGTTCTATGCTGATGGAACAGGATCCTGATGTGGCCGTTACTGTTCGGAAGTTGGTGGTAGTTTCCCTGATGGAACTATTTAAGGACATCACACCTTCTTACAAAATCCGGCCCTTAACTGAAGCAGAAAAATCTACCAAGGTGATGCTAGATAAAATTTACTTTATAAAATAAGCTGAAAATTTTAGAGAGCCAGAGATGGGAGGACAGGGTGTTGTGTTTTTGTTCCTGCCCTCCTCCCAGCATTGTAAGGGAGTCCCATTTTTGTTAACCTTTGAATTTTAATCCTCTGATTTTTTTTTTTTCTTTTTTGAAAGAAAATTCGATGATTTTGGTCTTTTTCAGATTCGCAAAGAAACCCAGAAGTTAAGAGAATTTGAAGAAGGCCTGGTTAGCCAATACAAATTTTACTTGGAAAATCTGGAGCAAATAGTTAAAGGTATATTAAACACATTTTAGAAGTACATACTATACCTAGCTATGATATGATCACAATAGGGAATTTCATATTCTGTTTTGTGAGAGGTAAGTATTGTGTATGGTGAAAAGTAAAGTCTATAGTTAGACTTCCTAGTGGCTTCGGCTGTAGTTCAGTTGGTAGAGTACTTGTCTGGCATGCATGAAGCCCTGGTTTTGATCTCTGGCACGGTATAAATTGGGTGAGGTGGTACATGTTCATAAACTCAGCATAGGGGAGGTAGAGGCAGGAGGATCAAAAGTTCAAGATCATCCTCAGCTACATAGGGAGTTCAAGTTCAATATATATCAGAATGAGACTGTGTCTCAATAAAACAGTTTTTATCCACATTTACTATTTACTGTTTGCCTCATTTTTGTCTCTAAAATGGTAATAATAGCATTTACCTCATGGAATTAGTATTAGAAGCAATTTGATTTATGAACATAAAGTGCTTAGCACTCTGCCTATCATGTCTAGGTACTATTATTTTATCAGCTGTTAGTATTTAACATTATTATTTCTGTAGTCCTTTGTTTTTCCTTTTATTGTGGTGCTGGATTGAACCCAGGAATACATTCGTACTAGGCAGGCGCTCTAGAGCTGAGCTGCACCTCAAGCCCGTTACAGTTCTTTATAAGTAGTTGTATGTTAGTTGAATTTATGAATCCTTTGGATTTATTATACCATTTTTTAAAATTTGGAAACTGTAGTCAGAAGGCCATACCTTGAAGTATTTGTTATTGTCTTGAAAGTGAACTTGAAAATCAGTTAGGATGATAAGCTCTTCTACCAAACCGTTCTCTTCAGAACAGGGACTTAGGAAAAATAGAGGATGAGTGACTGGAGAGATTAGCTCAGCAGTTAAGAGCATTTGCTGCCCTTGCAGAGGACTTGAGTTCGATTATCAGAACTCTTACCAGGTGGCTCAAAACCACCTGTAACTCCAGCTTCAGGGGATCTAACACCTCTTCTGGCCTCTGTAGGCATCTGCATACACACAGCATGTACACATAGATACATAACACATACATACACATTTTTTAAAAAATTGAGGGATGAAAGAAGAAATTTAGATTCCTAGGTAAAGTGCTTTCATCTCATTGAGCTCCTGTACTTAGTTTTAAGACCAAGAATCATCTAGTTACCACCTGAAACAGGACTACTGTATCCTGTTGACCCTGAAAATGACACGAAGGTGGCATAGTAGGCAAATAGAGGAGATAGGAGCCAGGGATATTGCTTCTGTGCTTTGGTGTCCCTGGGACTTAGAGTACAAGGTCTAGGAGTTTTATATAGGTAAGCACTGTCTAATAAGACCATAATATTGAGGGATGAAAGATGACTCATTGGGTAAAGTGCTTGCTATGTAAGTGTTAGGACTTGAGTTATGATCACTAGCACCCATGTAAAATGCAACTTGTACCTGTAATCCCAGTGGAGTGCATACTGTTTTTGCAGAGGACCCAAGTATGTATACTAGTATCCATGTTGGATGCTCACGGCTGTTTATAACTATAGCTCCAGGGGACCCAACAACCTCATCTGGACTCTGGGGCACCTGCATTCACTTGTGTATGTACTCACACACAGATACACAAATGTGTACGTAATTTAAAGAAAAACATTGGCTGGGGGCTAGAGAGATAGCGCAGCAGTTAAGAACACTGACTGTTCTTGCAGAGGACCTGGGTTTGAATCCCAGCACCCACATGGTGGTTAACAACTGTCTGTAACTCCAGTTGCAGGGGATCTGATAGTCTTCTTCTGTCCTCTGAGGGCGTTGCACGACACAGGTGCACTTACCTACATGCAGGAAATACATGCATACACATAAAATAAAAATAATAAATAAAATATTAAAAAATGTTGGAAAGTGGTAGAGAAAGACACCTGGTTTTGATTTCTGGCCACAGTATACATGTGGACATGTGCATGTACACACCATACACATAAAAGAATATGAGTCAGAAGTCATTTTAAGAAAATGTAACCGGGGCTGGAGAGATGGCTCAGTGGTTAAGAGTACTAGCAGTTCTTGCAGAAGACCTGGGTTCGAATCCCAGCACCCACATGGTTAATTAACAACTGTCCGAAACTCGAGTTCCAGGAGAACCGATACCTTCTTCTGACCTTCATGGGTACTGCACAACACAGGTCCACTTACAAACATACAGATATAATACTCATACACATAAAATAATTAAAAATTTAAAAAAAGAGAAAATATAACTACACTGAGACAATGAAATTAATTTTAATAATAAATTATATCCAAATTACCATTTCATAAATATATTTTATTAAATTGATTAATTATTTGTGAGTATGTGTGTGGGCATGAACATGCTACTGTGTGCATGTGGCGATCAGAGGACAATGTGGGGGAGTTAGTTCTCTCCTCCTGTCCTGTGGGTTCCAGGGACTGAACCCAGGTCAACAGACTTGGCAACGAGCTTTCTCACTGAGCCTTCTTGCTGGCTCCAAATTACCATCTCAACATGTAATTGGCTTTAAAGATTAGAAAGGTGTTTTATGTTCTCATGGTTTGGTCCTGAGATCAAAGTCCATTTTGTATTTTACAGTTGCCCCCCCCCCCCCTTTTTTTTTTTTTTTGCCTTTTTGACACAGGGTCTTCCTGTAGCCCCAACTGGCTTGGACCTCACTATGGAGACCTGGCTGGCCTTGAACTCACAGAGGTCTGCCTACCTCTGCCTCCTGAGTGCTGGGATTAAAGGCGTGTGCCACCACACCCAGCACTACAGTTGCCTCTTTATGTAACAATAGCTTCTCAATGAGACCATGAAGGTACAGACTTCTATACACATTAGATCACTTCGAAATCTTTTTTTATAGTTTAGTAAAAGTGTGGTAAATACATATTTACTGTAAAAAGAAAGCTAATTAGTTTATACTTTGATCTCTGATGAAAGTAACTACATTTGTCTTTCAATTAGACTGGAAGCAAAGAAAGCTGAAGAGAAGTAATGTAGTATCCTTAAAGGCATACAAAGGCCTGGCTGAAGTGGCTGTGAAGAGCCTGTGTGAGCTGTTGGTGGCCCTCCCTCATTTTAACTTTCACAACAACATCATTGTATTGATTGTCCCTCTAATGAATGACATGTCAAAGTCGGTAGGTTGCTCTGAAAAGGATTTCTTGCTAGTGTGCTTAGTGGAAAATTATACAATACGTGATTTCTCCCCACTCCCAAAATTCTTTTGTAGCTATTAGTGGTAAAATAGTATCAATTTATTAAGCAGTCTCTAAGAAAAGTATTTGAGTAAGTTTAGTGGAGTAGTTCTCAACAAGAGTTTTCCCTATAGTGAGTGCTAGGCAGTGTGGGGATAGTTTTGGGTGTCCTGAGTGTGGTGGGTGGGGAGTTTTAGTTCTGGAGTCTGCTAAGTGAAGGTCATGGAGGCTTTTTAACATCCTTCCGTGCACAGGACATTCTTGTGACAGCAGAGTGTCAGCAGTGCTGATTGAGAAACAACTGCTTTAGTGATGTATTTTCTTTTTCAGATATCAGAAATGTGTTGTGAAGCAGTAAAGAAACTATTTAAACAAGATAAATTAGGCCAAGCTTCTCTTGGTGTAATAAAAGTGATTTCTGGCTTTGTGAAGGGCAGAAATTATGAAGTTAGGCCAGAGGTAAGTCTTCGTTTTCTCACTTTGCATTTTATCTTTAAATTACAAAGTTAATTTTTTATTTCAAGAAGTTATTTATAGACATATATAAAGTAAAAAGTTAAATATACATACTCATTAAATATAAGAACTGCTAATAATGTGTTATACATATTTACCTAGATGTTTTGTATGCAGATAGGTGCCTGCTTGCCTTTAAAAATTTTTTAGTTTGACATTCTAAGAAAACCTTTCTGAAGCAGTTTTGATTTTTGTATTGGGAACTTATATCCCATTCTTTTAAATATTTGCCACAGCATTTTATTTGAACAGATATTATATATATAAAAAATATATACATATATGTATGTATGTATCTGTCTACCCTGCTGGGAAAACAGCAGAGGTACTTCCAGATTTTTGCTGATACATAGTTAATGGAAGAGACCACTTTGTTCATGCTTGCTCATATCATTCTTTTGTATTGTGATTATTATTATTGTTATTATTATTTTTGTCTTTTCAAGACAGGGTCTCCCTGTAGCTCCAGCTGGCCTGGAACTTGCTATGTAGACCAGGCTGGCCCTGAACTCACAGAGATCCACCTGCCTCTACCTTCCGAGTGCTGGTCCTCTTATACTTTTTTTTTGGAGGGGTATTGTCTTTTTTGAGACCGGGTCTCCTTGTAGCCCCAGCTCTCCTGGAACTCACTATGTAGACCAGGCTGGCCTCGAACTCAACAAAGATCTGCCTGCCTCTGCCTTCCAAGTGCTGGGATTAAAGATGTGCACCACCACACCTGGGGTCCTCCTATACCTTTTTATACATTATTTTTATTATAAGATTTGCATTTACTTAATGAGAATTAATGGAAGATAAAATGTATCAAAATAAAAATGAAACTCAGTGGAAATAGTTAATGTACAGAAATGTTCAAAAAAAGAAAATCTTTTTTTTTCTTTTTGGAGCTGAGGACTGAACCCAGGGCCTTACCACTGAGCTAAATCCCCAACCCCTAACCACATTTTTAATAGCATTACTAATAGGAAGAAGAAATATATCTGGAGGTAAATTTGAACAGAATTTTCTAACAGAGCATAATCAGGAATTAAAATCTTATAAATGGCTAGATGCCAATCCAAATCAATCATGACTTTTTAAGTTTTTAAATATAGATAATATTTACTGAGATTTAAATATAGGGTAGTATATTCTGAAAGTAATTTTTAGCCCTCTCTTGGGCCCCATTCTAGTTTCCTGATATCTACCCTCCGTCCCTCCTGTGCAGATACACATATATAAAAAATTAGAAACTGGGGCTGGAGAGATGGCTCGGTGGTTAAGAACACTGACTTTTTGCAGAAGACCCGGGTTTGAATCCCAGCACCCACATGGCAGCTAACAACTGTCCGTAACTCCAGTTCCAGGGGATCCGGGCATTGCATGACACAGGTGCACTTACCTACATGCAGGCAACACATGCATACACATAAAATAAAAATAATAAAGCATTTTTAAAAAATTAGAAGCTAAGATCTATATATGAGAGAGAACGTATGGTAGTTTTCTTTCTGAGTTACCTCACTTAATATGTTCTTTTCTAGATCCATCAAAAATTCCTGAAAATTGCCCAGTTCCATTTTTCTTCAGAGCTGAATAAAATGCCATTGTGTACATGTACCACATTTTCATTATCCATCTATTTTGATGGACATCTAGGCTGATTCTATTTCCTACCTGTTATGAATAGAGCAGCAATAAGCTACATGGATGTGCAAGTATGTCTGTAGTTGGATGTAGCTTTTAGGTACTATTGCTGGGGCATATGGAAGTTCTATTTTTAGGTTTTGAGAAACTGCCCCTCTGATTTATATAATGACTGTACCAGTTTATACTGCTCTTTCCCCACACCCTCTCTAACATTTGTCTTAATGTCAGCCATTCTGACAGGAGGAAGATATGGGGCTTTCTCTACTTTTATTATACATTTGAGCTTTTTACCCATTTGTATTATTTGCCAGTTTTTCTCATAAGTATTTATCTTTGTTAATGACCTGTGATCATTGATCTTTATTGTTTAAAGATTTAATTTTTTTTTTTGTCTTTTTGAGACAGGGTCTCCCTGTAGACCAGGCTGGCCTTGAACTCAGAGATCCACCCGCCTCTGTCTCAAAAAGACAAAAAAAAAAAAAGAAGAAACCTGTGTGTTTTGCAACTTTTACTGTATAGTGAAACTATAAATCTTTATTGTATACATTACAAATATTTCTTGGTTCAGCTGCCTTTTAACTTACTGTTGAGCTTTATTTGGGGCTTTGTTTTCATGCATAGATCAACCTCAGTCTCGATTTATTGATTTCTCTTTCAAGACTTGTAGTTTTTTTGTTGAATATATAAGCCATTTGATATAAGTATTTGTGTATTATATGAGTGCAGATAGATTTAATTTGTATAATGTATAAAATATATATCTTTTAAAAAATATTTATTTTTATTTTATGTGTATGAGTGTATTGCCTGCATGTGTGTAATTGCACCTGTGTCATGCAATGCCCGCATCAGAAGAAGGTGTTAGCTTCCCTGGAACTGGAGTTACAGACTGTTTTTAGCTACCATGTGTGTCCTGGGAATCAAACCCCGGTCCTCTGCAAGAGCAACCAGACCGCTCTTAACCACTGAGCCATCATTTCTTCAGCCCCTAAAAATTGCATCTTTGAAGTGGGTGGCATGTATCTTACCTTTAGTTTAAGATGGCATCTGTCTTTTTTTTTTGTTTGAGACAAGGTCTCTAATAATTCAAGACAGGCTTCAAACTTACTGTGTAGCTCAGGCTGGCCTCAAACTTGTTATCCTTCTATCCTTCTAGATCAAGGCCAGCCTAGTCTAAATATTGAGTTCTTGGCCAGCCAAGGCCACAGGGAGACCTTGTCTCAAAAAAAACCCACTTGTCATCTTTCTGCCTTAGCCTCCCAAGTCTCTGGGATTAAGTTGTGCACCAACACATCTTGCTGACTTTTGTAGTCTTATATTTTTTCACTTTTATTTGGGCCTTAGATGTTTATGTTCAATTTAATTTTGGTCATCTATTTTTATGGTTACACTTAACTTTTTTTTTCTACTTAGTTTTGTTGTTCTTACTATTTCATAGTCTTCCTTTGCCATCAGATCTCTCTGAATCCCTTCCCTCTTGAAAGTCATGGTTTTAAGTTGAACCACTAAAATGATAAATATTAGGCTTGAATAAGAAAAAATATTTAGAATGCTTACTCAAAATTGTAATCAAATAGTAAGGTAGAACATGAAAATCAGTCATAGAGAAACAGTTTCATTTTACTGATGCTAGGATAAAAGCTCCACACCATTCCCCACCTCCGGGCAGAAAATCGAACCTAGGACTTTGTGCATGTACAGAGCTGTATTTCCCCAGGCCCCTAAAAACTGCATCCTTTCATTTGGAGCTGTTTTTCATTGCCTAGTGATTAGTTTGTGATTAATAATATGAATACCTGAAAAATATTTGAAATTTGTCTGTCTATACTTACAATGACTTCAGGTTCATGCTTTATGCCTTTAGTTACTCCTATTTTCCATCTATGCCTTTACCCTGTTACTTGAAATACTTACCTTCCTTCCAAATGTGCATGTTGGAGCATTGAAACAATACAAAACCTGTAGTTTCATGAATACTGTGACTCAAGTCAGTAAGGTAATTTCTTCCAGAGAAAATGTAGGGTCTTAAATCTCTTGTTCTTTGCATTTAAATATAAGAATAGTGGCTACCGCCGGGCGTGGTGGTGCATTAATTCCAGCTTTATCAAGTATCAGAAACAGGAGTACATGTTAAAAATACATACTGCTCATCACTCAGGAGGCAGAGGCAGGTGGATCTCTGTGAGTTCAAGGCCAGCCAGCTTGGTCTACATAGTGAGTTCCAGGAAAGCTGGAGCTACAGGGAGACCCTGTCTCAAAAAGACCAAAAAAAAAAGAAAAGAAAAAAAAGAATAGTCGCTATTGTCCATAAAATGTAAATTTCTGAATTAGTGTCCAAACATTTTCTCCAAATATTTTGAATGGCTTAAGCCATTCTTATTTTGCTAGTTCAGCATTGCCTGTGACTTGGAAATAAAACTCTGGGGTATCACTCTAGATTGAATGAGTTAGAAATTGTGTGGCTGAGGCTCAGCAGTGTGTTTTTTCTTTTTGAGACAGGGTTTCCTTGTAGCCCCAACTGGCCTGGAACTCACCATGTTAGACCAGGCTGGCCTTGTTCTCACAGATACTTCCTGTCTCTGCCTCTCGAGTGATGAGCAGTATGTATTTTTAACATGTACTCCTGTTGATTCTGATACTTGATAAAGCTGGAAAGGAAAACAAGTCACCCTCAAATGACTGGCACTAGTCTTTGTGTAAATTTTTATTGTGAGAAACAGATGAATGCCAGCACTATTAATTGCAAAACTTGGGAGCTTAGAGCTAGTTTAGAAATGTCTTGAGTTATGTCTCTTCTCATGGTCCTTATGCTCTATAATTCTGTCTACCAGTGCATGTGTTCTCTCTTCCTTGTACTCAGAAAACAGCAGTGTTTTGAATTGTTAGCCAAATGCTGGTATTCTCTCATAGACACACGTAGCTGAGTGTGATTAACAGAAGATGCAGAATTTTGTGTAAATGTCATAAAAGATTTATCAAGGGACTAGAGAGATGGCTCAGTGGTTAAGAGCACTGACTGCTCTTGCAGAGGATCCGGGTTCAGTTCCTTGCACCCACACGGGGCCTAACAACCATCTGTAACCCCAGTTCCAGGAGATCCAATGCCATTTTCTATCCTCCATGGGCACTGCATGACATGGGTGCACTTATACACATGCAGGCACAACACTCAAACACATAAAATAAAAATAAATTAAA